TTTGAAGAAAATCTTTGTGGAAGGCTTTCATTTTTATAAAGCCGAGAGCGAACGCCGCCCCTTTTTTGTTTTAATGGTGATGGTAAAGATGAAGGCATATCGCGTTTCCCATTTGATGGCAATCGGCATCACTCTTTTCATGTTCACAGGTGAGTTAGGATTGTTCCTTTTTTTAACAGAAGGAAAAAGCAACTGCAAAAGTGTTTCAAAGTGTTTTTTAAATGGTGACTTTTAAATCAAATTGATGCTAATACCGTTGTGCATCTAGACAAAATCATTAATTTGAAAATGCATAGCACCGTGCAATTTCAGGGAAAGGGAAAGAGATGATTTTTCAATGGTCAGTTTCTAACTGCTAACGAGACGACGAAAATGTCCAACGTTTCTCACGAACGTATGACGTATAGGAAAATGAAAGAAACAATAGGAAAAATCTAGAGAGCTTCTGTAAGATTTCCAACCGAGGACTTTTCGATTTCGCTGTTTGTTGAATACGTAACCAACTGAGTCTCGCTACTGGAGACTCGTTGGTAACGGAAACCATGTATTAGCTTTACATATGCCTTTCTTTTTTTGTGCTATTGTTAGAAAATTAGTCGCATAATCAATTTTCCACCGGGTTGAGCAATCGCTATTCGGATCTTCCCAAAGTTGTTTTTGCCAACTGCATCATTTCCGTGGTTGTTGACATTTCTCAGGACATTAGTGAGGTATGCAAATCGCGCCTATTCTTTAAATCAATATTTGTTCGATAAACCTTTCTTCGTTTTGGTTGTTGAGAAGGGCGTTCCAGCCACTTTGTTTATTGTTCGGTGTCTCCAGGTTACCAATTGTCTTTCCCCGAGAAGCAATAAAGCCCCTAGCGGGGTGATTTAATGAGTGAATTGTCTCGAATTTTTTAGTAAAAAGTGTGAATGTTTGACCAAAGCGATGTCAATCAAGGATCAGCAAAATCAAAGCAAATAAAGCAAACCACGTCGGGTTGCTATATTAAGCTTTTTTTTATCTTAAGATTAAACAGAGCTTTTTCTCTTTTCGTTTTTTTTCCTTTTCATATAAAAAGTAATATGACCTCTGTGTATTTGAAATCTCATTGACAGACATAATTGTTAACAACCTCGCAACAAACATAACTATCAGATCCATCCCAAGCTCGTTAATGAAATATTATTTTCATACCCTTCTGCCTGTCTGTAGCGAAATCTTATAATCACTATATAAACAGCACAAACGCCGCATGAATTGAAGTGTCAGTGCTGTTATTTTTCAATAAGGTTTGTTACCCTGGAAATC